AGGTCCGGTGTGCCCCCTCCCTCATGGCCTTCAGGATCCTGGCTCTGCCAGAAGATGCTGGGGGGGGGGCAACCCAGAATCCCACCAGCCATCTCCACAGGTGCGGGCCCCCCTCTGGCCCCCAGGCCTTCTGGCAAAGCCAGGATTTAATACCTTTCCTGAAGGCCATGAGGGAGGGGGCACACCGGACCTCAGGAGGCAGGATGTTCCATAGGGCGGGCGCTGCAGCAGAAAAGGCTCTCTGCCTAGACCCCACCAATCGAAATTCCCTGACCGGTGGGGTCTGCAACCTGCCCCTTCTGCTGGACCGAGTGGGACGGGCTGAAGTGACCAGGGCGAGGCGGTTCCTCAGTATCTTATTTTTGAGAAGCTCCCAACCCTTCCTTGGACCTGCGGATTTCTGTCTATGGGACCCTACCTAGGACTTCTCTGAGCTTGCTGAAGTTGGCTTTCCTGAAACATAGTGTGCATGTACAACTGTACTCCAATACTTTTTTTCTCTGCAGCATCTTGAATCCAAGATGAGATGGTCACTTCCTCCCAAGATCCCCCCTGCTGTTACCCCTTAAGTTGGCTCTTCCCTGTTGGTGTGATCCAGGTCTTAGAGAGCTGGTCCCCTTGCTGTTGGGGAAATGAAGCAGCAAGAACCCTGAGAAATTTTGGGGACCTTGCAATCTCGGTCACATTGGTTTTCCAACAGACATCCAAGCAGTCCTGGATGTCTGGTCTAGGAGGGAATTATCTGGGTCTTCTGCCCTGGCTTTGCAGCCAATAGCACACCCCATGTACTTTCCTCTTCCTTGCTTTATTACCCAAATGCTCTTCACTGGACCTCTCTGTTTCTGGATTTCAATTAGTACGTACTTCCTTCACATATAAGGCCTCCTATGCTTTTGAACAAGTTGTACTTCCAGGCCCTGCATTCTATGCCAGAGTCTTGTCCACTTGGTTTCAGTTTCACAATTGCTCAACTACTAAACCATCTGTGGAGAATCCTTGTCACTGAATCATAGATTTCATGGGCCTGTGCTTCTTTTGCTGCCAGCACAGAAGCAGCTCTAAAATCCTGGCATGTCATTTTGCATGTCATTTTGCATCAGGTGGACCAGGAAGGCTTGCTGATGTGCCCAGCTGGTGCCAAGGATTTCTTTATGGAAGAAGGAGGGTGAGCAATTATGCCCCAGGAAGCCCTGTTTCTGAGCTCCTTGGCACCTGTTTGGCCTCATAGCATACTTCATACCCCTTTCTGGTTTTCTTCCAGATCTCCGCCTGCAACTGCTGGATGTAAAGAACAACCCTTACCTCCTCAAGGCTCTCTATGGGCTGCTGATGCTCCTGCCCCAGAGCAATGCCTTCCAGCTCCTTTCCCATCGGTTGCAGTGCGTTCCGAACCCTGAACTCATGCAAACGGCGTAAGTTACACCTGGGTGGCCAGTGGTCGTCCTTCTCTTCCTGGGCTGAGTCTGGGATGTCCTAACAAAAAGCATTTGCTTTACAATCTCCCACTCCCCACTTTCCAGAGGGGCAGCAGGAGCTGAATGAAGAGACCTTCCTATGAGGGAATTGGTCTGTCTGGGCTTGGAAGGGTCTGGCTGACCAACGTTGCCTGCCTTTGGCTGCTGGCTGGTTGTTATTTCCATAGCTCTTTTTTCCAGGGCACCATGTTCTTTAACATTTTTCTGCACAGAGAGCTATGTTCAAAACAGGAATAATAATCATGCTTTTATTCAGCACGGGGGGCTGAAGGGCATTCACTTGCCCATCAGGTAAGTTGCCTTGGCTTTACTGCATCAGCACCATCACATCTTCCACAACTCCCTCCTCCCTGTAATTGTTTGGTGGCGAGGAGTCATCAGCCTTGCCTGACCTCTCTGCTGGTGGCCCCAAGTCTGGAGCCATGGAGGCAAGCACATCCTGCAGTCACACTAGAGAGAAGATGGGAGGGGACTTTCCACCCCCCAAGGGGCAAGGTCTGCCCCTTTGTTTTGTCTGGCAAGGCAGATCTGGCAGGACCCAGAACTGTCGGTGCTCTCGCTGGTCAAGGCACCGACTGACCCAACCTGGGGCCAGGGAGCATTGACAGATCCATAAGGCCAGAGCATCATGCTGGGCAGGAAACTCCCAAGGGGCTCACTTGGCCTTTGACTCATAGCCTTCACACAGGATATATGTGGCTGTGCTTAGCCAGCCAGGTATTCTTAGAATTGGCATCCACTGCCTTGGAGTGTCCTGATTGAAGGGCACGCAAGCATATTAAAACAAATGCCTGGCCCCATCGGGCCCTTCTTGGGGCATTTCAGTTGGCCTTCGGGCTTTTTGTACAGCCTCCTGCCCCCAGTGTGGCGCTGGCCAGCAATTGGGGCTTTGTGCCTTCTCCCTGGGTGGGAGAAGAAAGAAGGAAGGTCCCTTGTTGACAGCATCTCGGCCCCTTGCCCAGCCGGTTCGTTTTGTCTATGTTTGGTAACCTCAGAGGGCTGTTCCTCATCCAGAGACATTTGGCATCTAGAGTGGAAAATTTCCCTTGCAATATTGCCATGGAAACCGGCTGAAGGGCCTGTTCCCATCAGCTTGTCGGCTTTCTTCCGATTCCCGCAGGAGCTAGTTGCAGAGCCCGCAGGCAGCAAGAAGCACATTTGCCCATTGGCCCGCCCCTCTCCCTGGGGCGTCAGTGCAGGTTCTTCTGTGTTCTTCCCTGGGAAATCCTGCATCCAGCCTCTCCCGGCTGGCTCCCACCTCCCTCGGCCTCCTGGTCTCATACCTGGGGAAGGAAGGAAGGAAGCCACGAGGAGCAGCCTTTTGAGGAGGCATGAAGAACTGCAGCCTTTGACTTGGCCAATCTGGAAGCCAGAGTTCCAGAAGTGGCTCTTGGGGGAGGGAGAATGGGGCCCGCAGAGGTCAAGGCCCTTTTCAGCCACAAACAAGGCAAACAGGTCTCCTCCCTTGCCATCTGGTGCAGGCACGGGTGGCCATTCTGGACCTTTACGCCACATCAGAGGAAGAACACCTTTGCCCATGGGGAGGGAGGGAAAAGACTTGCGGGCCTTAATTTGGTTGACAGCCTCCAAGGCTTGGATGGTGGAGCAGGGGTGGGAGGAGTAGGCTGAAAGATGGGAGATGCCCCCCCAGCAGCATCATGAGCCCTGGAGCCCCCTGAAGGCCTGTCTTCTTTGGGGCTGGACCAAAGGCACGTAAGCCTATTTGGTGACTCCTCCCCACCCGCAATGGCCGGATCCTCAGGGCTCCTGGGCAGCCTGGACCTCGGGTTGCCCAGTCTGCCTTGCAGGGAGTGCCACAGCCAACTGGCTGGAAATCCCTCCTCTTTGCCAGAGAGAGGACGTGGGCAGCATTTTGGGGCTGGAACACTCCACATGGCCATGCCAGCCAGCTGTCTGTCAGACACTGGTGGGACAGGAGGATTGACTTCTTGGGGCTTCCAGAATGTTCATGGCACATCCTAATGGCAGCTTCATTCTGTGTGGGAGGGACAGATCTCAGAGGTCACCTAGTCCAGCCTTCCTCAGGGCATGTTGCAGCCACCGCATCCCTGATGGGCTGGAGTGATCCTCCCTTAGGACAGGCAGAGGAGCCTCGTTCGGGGGGGGGGGTTCCTTGCTGGGAGTGGGGGGCCAGCAGAGTGCCCTCTACTTTTCCTTTGTGAAAGGAAGGGGAAGGGACAGGCCCTCGGTCAGCCTAGCCCAACTTCTCTTCCAAGACCAGCCTCCTCATTATGGGGGCCCGTTACTCCCACTTCCTTAAGGGCTGTCAGGCAGGCTCTGCACGTTGAAGGGCAGCAGAGAATGTGCCCTGGGCCTAGCAGGGCAAGCGAGTCCTCCTCCTTCAGACTGGCAGGGGGGTGTGGACTTTTGGCCCCCAGGGAACAACCTCGCTGGAAACCTGAATTTGAGTCCCAAAGGGTGTTTTGGTGCCAGGGAACAGCAGGTGGAGAAAGAGGACCCTCTCCTGGGCTAACCCACCATCGGCATCCAGATGCCAGTCCTCCCCTGCGGGCCCTGCATTGGGGAAGGGGGCCAGGGCGCACGCGATGCCCAGCCTGCCTGCTTGTGGTTTCCCACCAAACCTGCACCTGATAGGAAGCCACTGTCTAGCCATCTTTGGAGGTAGAGATGCGGGGCTGAGGCCTCCAAGTGCACTCGGCAACTGCGCCCGACCCGCAGTCTGCTCCGCTGGTGTTGGTTACTGATGGCGCCTGCCGGTTTCCAACTCTCCTATCCTGTGCCCACCGTTCGTTTGAGGGCCCTCCGAGTCGTGCCTGCTTTGACACGGGAGCCTCGAGCCTTTCTCGGTGGCCAAGATGCCATTCGGCCGCCTGCTCGTCTGCCTACCGCGGAAAGCCCGGTTGGAAGCTGGCAGGAAGGGCTGTTGGCTTGGCCGCCGGGGTCCCTCGAGACGGCCTCGGGTCTTGCTGGGGCCGGGTCGGGGCCCGGCCCCCCCTTGTGGGGGGC